CGCCCCGCTGCGCGGGGCCGCCTTCCCCGGCGCGCGGCGGCCAGAGGCGCTGCCCGCCTTGCGCGGCGCCCGCGAGGGCCGGTCCCCACCCGCTTCGGCCACTCGGAGTCGGAGGCACCGAGAGGCGATCGGGTTTCACTGCCTGTGTTAGGGTGGCAAAGGATGCGAGGGAGGGCAGGGTGCCCAGGGCACGCTCACATGTGGCGTTTGCCCGCGTGTGTGTGCCCTAGCTTCACCCCTTCCTCTGTCTGCTAGTCTTCCCTGGCAGTTGGGTACACACACAGGATGGGCCATGCTGTCAAGAAGCCAACCTGTGTCACCTAATCCACCAAAGTTCACAGGCCTAGTACCAGATTGTTCCCAGGCACCTCGAAAGCATAGCAGAGACCTCAGTGTGTGCCTTAGTTAAAGGTCGTTTCAAGGGCTTGGGATCTCCTTTGAATAGGGTCTGAAATAGCTCCTCGTGGAAATCCAGGAGCATGGGGCTGTTGCTGCTGAGAAATAGCTCTCATTAAGGCTTTGGGCACAGACAGCAAACTCTTAGGAGATGATCAGGAGGCAGTAAAATCAATATACGTCCATAATAATGCAGAGGATATTAAAGGAGTCTAACGAATACGGTGGACACAGCAGAGACACGCTGCAGGAAGTGATTTTTCTGCATTTGCAACCCAGCAGTCTCATCCTATTTATGTTGCTGTGTGCTGCCTTCAAAGAGATTGAAACAGTGTCATAAAGTTCTCTGTGAAGCAGTGAACACATACACACTTCATCTGTATGTGGCCATCTCTTTTCTGCCCTGTGACATATCCTTAAAAACTAGCATACTTTAATTTGAATGCCAATACGTGCTGCAATACGTGACTTAGCTGAGTGGGAGCCAGTTGCTGTCATCTGGTCTTCAAATAATACTTATTTCAGCACCACATGTGGGTGGCCATTTCCCCCTCTCGGCCTGCTGCCAGCCTCACTTTTTCTGTAACAGTCTTGTAGCTGTGGGATTATCAGATACAGTAGTATAATGTCAAAACCCAGCTCCCACTGGGAGGCCAGATTGCTCTTGTGTTTGCTCCCTAGCCCTGTGCAACATATTAGTTTTTGATAGTGTGAGTGAAACCAAACCTTGGTTTCACCATGTTGCTTTCCAAAGTTTTCACAGAGTTTAAAGATTTGAGAACAGTATTTACCCTGCGAAGTATGACCATCTCAGGATAGGTCTAGCAAACCTTTTCTGACAAGGCATTCACAGATTTTTGCAAGTTGTGGAAGAAACTGAAGAGAGGCCTTCAGCTCTGCTGTGCTTAGCTGAAATATATATGAAATATGAAACACATGATATATGCATGATGTCACACATGATGATCTGAGGCATTCTTTTGCCTCTCTCTTGATGAATGTAGCTGTGCTCATCTTGCTTTCCCCATTCATCTCACCAAACTCCTCGGTACTGAGCAGTGCCTCAGCCTCACAGTACCTGGATTCATCATCTGCACAGTGGAAAGAGAAACTAACTTAAAAGATGAGATGTTCCTGAAGGTACTGACAAAAGACTGCAGGAAATGCTGTCACCTCTAGGGTGGAGAGTAGCTTTCCATCCTTCCCTTACAAGAAACTGTTGTCCCTTTCTCTTTGTTCTTGTTTTTCTTTCATCTTTCTATCTTTTCATACATTAAATCCCTAATGGGCTATATCACACCAGTATCTTTATCCTAACCAACCTCCCGTTTATCCTCAGCATTGTAATGATTACTTTCTTCCACATAACTATTGTACTTATCACTTTATCTTTTCAGATAACTTGACAAATTGCATGTACTATCCTGTTTCTAGGGGAAATAGTAAAAGGTGTGAACCCTCTCCATGAGATTAAGAAGGAGGAAGCTTCATGCTGGGGAATTATGAAACTTTCACTACTCTTAATGACAGACACAGAAGGATGTTTGCTGTTCATGTTCTGTAAGGTTTCGTTAGACTTTAAGAATGGCATAAAGAAAATGGGAGCGCCCTAAAGCTAACATCTCATTTTGTTGCCTCGCTATAGTACACTGAAGCCAAATGCTGAAATGCAGCTTACGTTTTTCAGGAGCCAAAAGATTCAGCTTCTTACTTGTGTTTGTTTAGTTCCATCGATTTCAAGTGCATTGTTCTTGATTTTTGAAAGTCAGTGAGAAACAGACTCATATTTTCTGTCTATGGATTCTGACATCATATAATTGTAAGAAAAAGCTGTATTAAAAGAATAAAATGGCTGTGAAAACAGACAACCAAGCAAAAGGAAATGACAGAGGTTGTCTCCATAACCTTGAGTCCTGATTTATATAATGTGATTGCCCACTGTTGTTTCAGTGGTCTGTCCTTTATTCAGTATGTTGAATGAAAGGTAGATAGTGGATGGGCAACTGCTTACCATTTCATATCCCCAGGCTCCTGCCACAGGTCTTGATTACTGCAGATCATTCAAGCTGTGCCCTGAACACAGAATTATTAGTTCCCATATGTTTTTTTTTTTAAAGTGGTGTTTAGTATTCTATCTTCTGAGGGTCTGGCAACACAAATAACATCTTTATAACAACTCAAAGGGTGTAAGGCTGTTGTTTATGTTTTTCAGTTTACTACCTGGGGCACAGAGGTGTGCACTCATTTTGGATGCCCATTGGAGTTGCCTTTGGCTTATTTTTCAGGGTAGTTATTATTATACAGTTAATATATATCTGTTTTATTGTTGCAGGCAAAATTCCCTTTAACTTCATCTGCAGTTCTGAGCACTCAACGCTTTGGTAAATTGGATCCTGCGTATTTTAATTTCAATCCCTAGAAAAATGAGGAACACAATTAGTGCTCCTCACATGGAGCCAGCTTGGGTGTGCCTGCACCTGTGGTATAGACATGCCCTCCAAACCTCATAAACTGCCGGGAAGGAGGCAGATGTTATTTACCCTGTTTTGTAGATGGAGATGCACAAAGAGGTTAACCCTTTTATGCAGCACGCAGGAAATCTGTGGTAGAACTTGAAAGTGAAGTCAAGTCATTCTTTTGACCACAAAAATTGCTTTGCTCATGGTTTTGTGGGTGTATATGAGCCATTTTGTATGGGGCTAGTGTTAATGGTAGGGCAATTTGTATTGACTTCCAGATGTATTTATCAAAAGGATAGGTCAATATTTACTTTGGGAGAAATCCAGAATACACAAATGCACTAATATACAAAACAACTTCAAGAGCTAAACAGCTGTTCGCTTCCAGCGTTTGCTTTGTTTTGTTGTGAACATCATTCAGCTTTTCTTTTTTTTCTTTTTTTTTTTTTTTCGGAGGGCAGTGAGACCAAGTCTCTCTGCACAGACCGTTGTCTTCAGCATATGTTGATTTTTAGCCATGCCTCCAGCCTACGCTGACAGGAGCATGTGCGGCCCTCATGTGGCGCTTGTGGTGGAAGATTCTCATCCCATTCTGTTTGTTTAGGACCATCTCTTGGCATCACAATAAATCAGTGAATGCAGCGGTCTCACTTTTTCAGCCTGCCTTTCTGTCCACTGTGCAGTCCTGCTCTACGAAGTCTACAAGCTCTGCAAGCCTCTTGGCATCAGTCCCATGCAAAGAAACTGTCTAGGGAAATCTCCTGAGCTGTTAATATTTAGTAGGTGGTTATGTGAGGGACGCGGACTGGTAAAACATGGAGACACACGGCATGTCCTGCTGCAGATAGTCCAACGTGCAATTTTTGTACCTCTCACTCTTCCTCATTATATATCCAGGTAGGTGTGTACTAAGCACATTCTTTTAATGGAGAAGGACTGAGGTACAGCTTAGAGGTACAGAGTATAGCTGAAACATGGAAAATGGCTTTTTTAATTTTTTTTTTTTTGGTGGGAGGATAAATGTTCAACCACTAAACCCTTTTGTCACCCATATTGGGTAGTCTCAGCCCTTTGCTAGCGATGTTAGGAAATGCACAGTGCTGTACATCCATGACTGTAAGTCAATTGCCATCATCCAGGCATTTTGTCTGACTAGCAGAGCAGTTGTTTTTGGAAACATTCTTCCTAAGGGTTATGTCTCCAGGATATTTTCTTTAATTAGGGGAAAAAAAATGATCACTGGTGACATGGTATCTTATTAGAGAATTTGATCTGAATTGAAAAAAAAAGTCTTTTTGAACTGTAGCTTACATAGTGATGGATAGGGAATAGGAAGTGAGATTGCAACTGACAGATACTGCTTCTGCTGAAAAAAACAGATTTGAGTTGATGGTGGTCTTTAGAAAGATGAGTCTTCTGAAAACAAAAGCAAAATCCTGCCTTCAGCTACTAGGGATTAGGAGATGTCCATCTGTTTTTGTGATTATTTCTGTTTATTTTTTCTCAGGAGTTGCAGTTTGATGCTCTTGTGAAACTTCCAGCTCAACTATGGAGGCATGAGGAAAGGGAGACAGGAGGAAGCCTTGCTCAGGACCGTCGCAAATTCAGTATGAAAGTGTTCATTCTTGTCTTTTTCCATTTCACACTTTCCAACTGAGGGTGTGAAAATAAGAAGTACTTATTTTGGACCATTTAAAGATATCTGCTGACTTGTAAGTATGGATAGAAGGCAAAATGGGAGAGAACTTGAGCTACTGCTGTACAGTTGGAGACCCAAGAAGCACAGGAGATGTGGAGAAGTCATGGGAAAAAACAGAAATTCAGAAAGAGTGGCACATGGTAGCAATGGTGAGCCTGGAAACAGCAACTAGAGAGCTAAACCGGAAAGCAGAGTTAAGGGAACCAGTAGTTAGAGAGAATGGGGTATGTGGGGAGGTATTGGAAAATGGAAACCGTGAAAAAAAGAAAAGTGCTTTGGGTGGATATAATGGCTTCTCCACAAGGATTTTGCCATCTTCATGTAACTGAGAAGTCACTGAAGCACTAGAAGATCAACTGACCTCAGAAGATCTGAGTTTACAACACAACCAAACCAGAGGTGCCTGGCGGGCAAGTGTGAAAAGTCGCCCTGGAGCCAGCACTTGAAGAGTTGCTGCCTTTCACGTGTCTGAACACAACATTGGCATAAGGCGTTTTGGAAGTAAAGGAACATCTTAATGTTGCTTCTCAAAATGAGTTGCCAAATGTGGATGCTGGATGCCTCCGTGGTGGGACAGAGAAGAGTAGTGTGATGTGGCAGAGCTGGGACAGAAGGCTGTCTCTCAGTGCCAGCAATGGGCAGTCTTTGAAGTACTGTCCATGACTAGCTGCTGAGAGAGACAGTGATCCTTCCCCACCACTTCCAAACTTGATCTCTGTTCTGATAGAGCCAGCATTGCT